ACCCTGTGTTCATAAGTAGAACAAGAGTCAAGTGTGTCACTGTATGTAGACTCCCTCCTCCCCCACTTATGACATTTCTATTATGTAGTTACTCTAGGGAATACCATGAGTTTAGGCACCATATGAAGACTATGACTTTATTTTTATCAACAAGTACAGGTGTTTAGATATAAGTCTGTTCTATTGGCCTTTACTCGTACATTACTGCTTGTAGGAGTGGACCTGAAAGAAATATTGTATTGAAAAATCAAGGCCCATACCCATATGTGTTTTAGATTTTAATTTCTTATAATTTCATCACTTATGGATCAACCATGAGTTAATTCTTAATTTTCATTTTCAGCTATTAGAACAGATGCAAACCATACAGATAAAAATAAGTCAAATGAAATAAATCTTAGATATTTATTGAAAATCATAAAAAGATATTTTAAAATAAGAAATGAACGTTGACTTTTTCCATAGGCATTTACAGTATGGACTCTATTGGGCTCTACCAGGGGCTGGCTTGGAGCAGTGATTTATGCAGTTAAGGCTCTGTCCGAAGTTAAAGAGGTCTTCACAAGACTTCAGGTCTACACATTTAATATATGTATTTGCGTTTTTATGTTTGCCTGCCTTCCTCTCTATCTCTTACTCTCTCTTTCTCTCTCTCTCTCTCTCAGGGTTATATGTATTTGTGTAATGACTGTAGGCATAGGAATTTTTGCTTATATTATTAATATGTGTGAGTGAAGCACTAATGCAAGTTGCATGTCTTTATTCAAATTAATAATTCTTATTTGACTTATGAAAACCATAAAAATCATGCTGATAAAAATATTAAATATTAATTAGTCAACACCAAGTATTGGCAGCCCATCTGTTAAGGTTTGCTAGACATTAGTGTATAGTTAAGAAATGTTTTTATTACTATTGTGTTCTAAGTACCTCTTTATTTTAAACTAAACTTCTTGAGCAAATTAATACAATGGTTCCCTCATCAGAGGTGACAGTAGCCCATTCAGATAAATCAAATACATTTATCCTAAACCATCCTAAAGTGCTCTTAGACCAGTAAAACAACCTTGGCTTTTGTTGGACAACTCAGGATTCATATCTCAATTTTTGGTAGCCTTTATTTCCCATCATACGTACAGGTAAGACAAGTAACAGTGTACGGTGTATGGTGAAACTAAAAATTAATGAAAATAAAACGCAATGAATAAAAATAAAAATGATAATACTTACAATGGAGTACAATTAATGGTGAACATGATCAAGTAAAGGCACAATTTATGATTCTATGATGAAAAAATTAATATTTAAATAATAATAACTTACTCGAATTGCAGCTACATAAACTTGGAGATAATCCTAATGTTCACAAAAAAAAAAAAAAAAAATGTATACATATATGATGGGCTTGCCCCCATGCATATCTGCTGACAAAATCATACGATGGGCTAGCCCCCATGCGCATCTGCTGACAAATCACGAGTGGTCTCCGCCCCAGTATGATCTGCTCATTACTCCCTAAATCATTGACCTGTCACAATGGGTCACTGGTAGTATACTCTCAAAACTTATACAATACAAAAAAGCTGTTTTCTAAACGAAACAAACGATGATAATTAATGATAATATCCTAATTGCAACAAACAATTATAATCACAACAATTATTATTACTTAACTCTTCAAGAAGTTTTGTCAGACAGGAAAAAAATCTGCAAGAGATTTTTAAATCTTAAAAGACGCTTAAATTGTGTATCACGTCTAGTTGTCTGTAGCACATGGATTTTTTTCTGTAAATATAACATTATATTCTCGTAAAAATGTGTTTGACACATATTCAAGACAAGAATTGGATTTGCTTGAATTTTTTTAGCATGTTTTTTTGTGTTAAGGAGTGAGGATGTGTGAGCATAGTGTGAAAGTCGCTGTTCTTTATAACAGTGTCTGCCATACATGACATGTATATGTAAAACATTATAATTATCACTGTCAATATGCTTCTATTCCTTGGTCCACAGTAACCTCTGTATGCAGTCACCCAAAATTTCAGAAGTTCTAGAAACTAACCCCAGTCTGTTATCAGCTTGACTTTGTCACTGAAGTTTGAAGGTTTTTATGGCAGTGGATGTCAAAAAGTCATGGATTATGAGTGGTTGTAAATAGATATTGTGTCTTCTGTAGATATTGTAAAAAAATGTAAAATATTTTGACCAGTCAGTTGTGATGAAGATCATGAGCAGTTGATACAGGGTCTGAATATCATGATGCCTTCTCGATTTTTGCCATCTACATTACTGAGGTGAAAGTCAAATTTATGTCACAAAACCAGACCAAATGCCATCATATAATTTCAAATAGCATAACTAAAAGAAATACCAAATGGCCTTATTATATTTCCAGAGAAGTGATATTTGAACAGATATTTTCTGCTTTCTCTGCTATTGATATCCTTTGCTCATTTTTGGCAACTCATTTAAATAATGGTGTTATTGTGCTTACAACAGTAATGCATCGCATGTTACTAAGTCATTTGATGAACTTTAGTGAACGGGAGGGACAAATAGATGTAAGTCAGATGAATGACCAAAAATCTGAAGAAGGTACAGTTTAAAAGCTCTTTTATGGCTCATTGGTTAATGTGGTTTATCCTTTCTCATGTCGACTTTATTTGAGTCATAAACGAAACTAGTAAAGTGGTTTATATGCATTATGCAGTGAGTATAATGCATATAAACGAAACTAGTAAAGTGGTTTATATGTATTATACTCACTGCATATGTTTCTTAAATGTGTATATTATTCCTCACATAGGCTTTTGTAGTGGTGGGGTTGTTCAATTGCGTGAAGGCAAGAATGGGCACCATGCAGGCAGCCGTCAGAGCCCTGTCAGATTTTTTTATCATCAATGAGCGCTTGAAGGTTTGCTTAGTTGATTGGGAGTTTTAATACTTAATCAAAAAGGCACCCAGTGAACTTTAGACCTTTATATATTAAAAAAAAAAGGTTTTGATTTTTCATGGTGGTTTCAATACTTTTCTCTTGCTTTAACACAAAAGATATCAAAACCTGTTGACAAAATTACATTAATGATTACTTTCATTGATCCCTTTTTGGGCTCAAAGAGATCAGGATTTGCCAAATGTGAGGGCTCGTTACCTTTGAAACTGTCTGTCTGTGTAGATTGAATCAAATCAGCATGGACTCTCACTGAATGCAACCAGTTAAACACACATCCTCTTGTTTCCAGCCTATGCTGGTTTAATCACCAGCTTTCCTGCATTGTACTCAAGGCCAGGAGGAGGCCTGTTGAGCTGATTGCACTCAGCGAGAGTCCTTGCAGATTTGGATCGATCTATGTAGACCAATATTTTCAGTGGGAATAAGCCCTTAGTGTGAACAGGGTTTCTGTGTAGTTTCAAAATTTCCATGAAGTCATAATTGAGAATAAAGTCTAGTGATTTTAAATGGTTACAATACACAATTTAATTAAACATTTTATGGCAGGGGGAAAGGATTAAATAAATTTGCATATGGTGTACCTGGTGAAAAAGGGAAATTCTGAATATATATTAGCAACAATATGAAGGTCTAACAGGCATTGTTTTGCCATTAATGCTTTCTAATTGTATACTAATGGTGTTGTAAACAGACATGCTCTTTGGTCACTGGAAATAATGCTTTCCCATTTTGAAATGCATCTTCTTTACATTTCTTTTAAAATGTTGCTGTTAGCTGTGCACTTTTCCTGTCAGATGATATGTGGAGATTTTATTCACTGATAGGCTCTTGGTGGTATGCGTTGACAGGCTGTATTTATTTACTTATTTATTTCTCTATTTATTTTTGCTATTTTAAAGATATGTAACTGATGTTGAAACAACCCTCTTCATTCGGAATGACAAATAATGTTTTAATATACATCCCTACGCTGGGAAAATTAAAAAATAAATAGGAGTCATTCAGTTTATGAATGATATTACACTTGGTAAAAAGCTAAGATATTTTTTCCAAAATGTGTGTCTTTGAGGCTAAAGGTTATAACTCTGATAAAGGGAGTGAGAGTTTTGCATATATTTATGCCTTGTTTTACAGACACTGAATGGTTATAATAACATGAAAGCTATTTTGATGTGAGTGTTGATAATATTAAACCCCAGACAATATATGTCTGTATATATTTATCCACTGCTGACAAAAACATAATACAAGGAATAGGGAGAAAGATTTGATCACAATGCTGAAATGACAGTCGTACTGGCGTTACTTTGTTGTGGAAACTTGTGTACAATTTTTTTTACGTGATCATGGTGAATTAAAATGATGTAGATTTTATTATTATTATTATTATTATTATTATTATTATTATTATTATTATTATTATTCAATACTCAAAGGAAATAGTTTGAAAAATATATACCAACAGAAATCCACACCTATCAACCATAAAAAATCAAATTATTTTTGTCTACACTTCAATAACAGCACTATATTCCCCTTTAATTTGCATGCTTCTCATATAATTTAATATATAAATTGTAGTTGTATGTGCTTCATCTGTTCCGTTAACTTGCTTATGCTTTTGCTGCTAACTATGCTTCATTAACTTGCTAATAGTGACTGCCCACTAACACAATGCATGCTTGGGTGGGGCTGTTTGCATTTTTTTCCAATTAACAGCAATCTATTTTCCATCAAATTAATGTTAAAAACTGTTTTGTTATTGTTGTTATAGTATTAATGTAGACATAAAGATGAAAGTAATTTGTACATTGACTTGATTTTTTATAGAGAAAAATATTCACTAGTTTGTAAACTTGCAATAAGACAAAGATTTTGTTTTACATCTAGATTAATGTGTTTCATTTCATTTAATGTGTCCCACTGAAAAATTACCATTTCTTATCATAAAAGTAATAAAAATATAATTTACAACATGTTTTTATTATTTATATTTATAATTGTTTAATAATACTAACATAATAACAGACAAATTCAATATTCATAGAGTGTACTGCTGATGGAAGAAATAACGCCCCATAGATGGCGTGTACCCAAGCCGCACCACGCTGTGTTCATGAGCAATGCCACTCTGGCTTGGGATGCCAGCAAGTCCGAGAACAAGCAGAAACAAGAGAGTGAAGACAAGAAGAAAAGAGAAAAGACTACGGGTAGGAAAAGATTTGTGGGGACAGGTTTTATTAAAGAAATACTGAGTGTCCAAATTTGGATTCAACTTGGAAAAAATTGATTGTTTCTATCAAAGCTGATAGATTTGTAGTAGCCTTATGACTTGTATATAGGTGAAACGTTGGTAAATTTTCACTTTCTTCAGTTCAGAATAGTATTTGACATGAATTTCTTATGTTGGCTCAGTTTTTTAGCACTACTAGTGCAATACATTAAGTCAATAGTAGTATGTATGCAGAATGCTGCAAAAACAGTAAACTACAAAGCATTTGCGTTCTTGCACTAACATATGTGATTGATTACAGAGATTCTTCGTTTATTTTTTATCTGTCCCCAATTTGCCTTCAGACAGAATGCATATCAGATTTAGTTTAATATCTTGTTTTTATGATAATGTATTGTGACTTCAACAACTTTCAGATTCTAAAAAGAAGAAGTCTAAAAAATCATCAGCTGAGGAAGTGACTCTAAGAGATGAAATGAAAGAAGATGAGGAGAGTGAGGATTTTGTGAAAGCTTTGTTCAACATACATTTAGTTTTAGAAAAAGTAAGTTAATATTGTATTGGATGGTACATGGCATGTTCACTGTATTGCAAGGAACTAAATGTAAAGATTGCAAATATAAGGATATTATCTAAAAGAAAAATTGTTAAAAAGAGAAGTTGAGTGATATTGATGAAAGAGGTAATATGCATGTATGATTTTCAAGTCTTGGTTTTAACAAGTTTTACTCATTGACAAAATGACTGTGATACATATTTAAACAACATAGTTTTATGTGTGTGGTAGGGTGGGAAGATAATAATACTTTAAAAAGATTCTATTAATTTTTTGGATAAAAGAGATAAAGAGATTTTGATTTTTGCTTTTTTTTGAAGAGCCTTGCACTTAAGGAGACTGCATCTAAGTATTATTATAATATTTCAGGGCAAGCTAATGGGAGTTTGTGGATCTGTAGGAAGTGGAAAGAGTTCACTACTCTCGGCTGTCTTGGCACAGGTAAGCTTGGGAGTGTAGTGGGACTCACTGGAGATACCCCAAGACTTGTGGCATTTTGTAGACGTGCAAAATATGATGCAGTGCGAACATCCTTGTTTTAGGCTGTCTTTCACGATACCCATTGTTGTATAACACAGAAGTATAACTATTTCTTAAGAGCAGTGGATAAATACTAGAGTTATAAAGATTTGGTGAAAGTTAAGGCTGTGAATTATAAAAACAACACGTTTGGATATCATGGAGATTCCAACTGCACCTTAGATTTTAAAATATCATGTCAAAAACATCTTTCTTTCTTTCTTTCTTTCTTTCTTCTGTAGATGAAGCTGGTGAGTGGAGAAGTGGCTGTTAATGGTAGTATTGCGTATGCTGTTCAGCAAGCTTGGATCCTGAATGCCACAGTGAGAGAAAATATTCTCTTCGGAGAGGAGTTTGATAAGGAAAGGTGTGTTATTAATTTATATTTAGAATACTCTATTCACAAAAACATTTTATGCTAACTCACCTGAGATTTTGGTGATCAGAGTCTATCTTAGTCAGCAGTTGATTGACAACTGAATATCACTGTTTGATACTAATAAGAACAATAATAAATTAGGTTTTTCATTACCTCTGGTATAAATACATTGCCTGTTGTTCAAAAATGATGAAAAAAAAGAGCAAAGGCAGGTTTTGAAATACTTCATCCCCCAAGTATAAAGACCGAAGATAAAGTATATAGACTGTTTAGTTTGGTCTATAGTCAGAAAGAGTGTTATTGAGTTCAGCCAAAGCCAGCCTGTAGGCAGGCAAGGTTTCAGGGGTTAGAAAGAAACACCCTCTTGACCACATAGAGTCTGTTCCTTAACAAAATTTGTTTTATGATATGTATGCCATTTCATAAGTTGGTTCAACTAATTACAGAGAAAAAAAGTTTTTTAAACACCTTTACTCTTTTAAAATTGCTGGTTACAGGGCTGCACTTCGTGGCACAACTTATCAAAAATTATGATATTTTAGGCTCTGTCAGTGGAGAAAAAAATTCATGAGAATATCCTAATGTTTTCCAGATATGATGCTGCTATATTTGCCTGTAACTTAGCAGAGGACCTTGAACAGTTGGCTGATGGGGACAACACTGAGGTAAAACTGGGCCTTTTTTTCTCTCTCTCTTTTTTTTTTTTTAATTTTGTTGTATTCTTAGTATAATATATTCCATTTAAATACTGGGTTACAGTAAGACAGTGTACAATAATAAAAAGCTATTTCATGATTTTGTGTCAGGGTACTGGGGTGACAGCTTGCCTTTAAATGATTTGCAGCAAATATAACTCTCCATTTTTAGCAATTTGTACATTTGTATTGCAAAGATACACCACTGGAATTAAAAAAGGCCTTTAATAAGTAAACTAATTGACATTTATTTGGATTAAATGGCATTAGATTGGAGAAAGAGGAATCAACCTGAGTGGTGGTCAGAAGCAGAGGGTCAGCTTGGCCAGGGCCTTGTATAGCAACAAGGACATCTATCTCCTTGACGACCCACTCTCTGCAGTGGACACACATGTTGGGAAGCATATCTTTGAAAACTGCCTGAGGGGGGCACTGAAGGACAAGACAGTCCTGTTTGTTACACACCAGCTACAGGTAAATATGGAGTGAAATAATCTAATGAGAAATTGAAATATTCTACTTATTTATTTGTTTGTTTATTTATTTGTATATCCTAGTTTGTTTATTCATACTTTATTATTTTATCAATTAATCTGTTGGTGTATATTTCTGTTTCTGCATTCATTTTTTTAAAATTAATTTATTAAATTATTTAATTATTATCCAGTACCTGAACGAGTGTGACTATGTGCTATACATGAAGGATGGGATGATAGCTGAGAGGGGGACACATGAAGAACTGATGGAGCAAAATGGAGAGTATGCTGGACTGGTGTCCACTATGTTCACTGACACTAGAGACGAGGAGACAGGTCAGGAAGTGCACACATTTCAGTGATTGTGCAATAAGGAACTTGGTTCTTAGAGTTTTTGTTTGTTTTCCACCTAAATGTATGGTGCATCATGTTTCAGCCTATGTCAGTGACATCTTAACTTCTGAGGCTCACATAAGTTACACATTTGATCAAGGTCCTTTGGTAAGGGTTTGTAATACATTGACTTATTATATAGGCACTGGTACTAGTGGAAAGTATGTTTAGTCTACTGGGTATTTTCTTTTTTACCATCATTATACAAGAGACAGTAAAAAACTATTTCATCTTGTTTGTATGTTTTGAGGAATTAGAGAAGATAGACAGTGATCATATTTAGTAATTTAAATCATTATTGTTTGATTACAGCGGAAGTGGAGCCCCCATTAAGCCCACTCCCAAACAGCCTTCCCAGCACCGGTGGTGCCAACAGTTACCAGAAGCACCACCCACTGCGCCAGATCTCCTCTGACACCACAGGCCGTTCTCATCGCTATCTCAGTCAAGATGGCCACCTCTGTGCCTCTCAGCCGCGTATCTCCCCTGAGAGGATAGAGGAGAGGGACAGGCACGGCATGATGCTCAGCAGTATGACCAGTCTAGCCAGTGTGCTGTCTGAACCTCATGTGTTTGAGGAGGATGGAGGTAGGGGGATGTGTATAATTGCTGTAATGTACAATTTTATCAGAGGCAGTTATGAGTTCTCCCTGTACATTATTCTAGACTCAAATTGATTTGAAAGTGGAGTTTCCAGTTTGCTTGAAGTTTGCAGTTGGCCAAATGCTGTTGATTTTCCATTGGACCTGAACTACGGAGTTGTTTAGAAATAATACTTTCTTTAATTCCATGAAATAGTAGATAAAAAGGAAATTATCATAAGCTTTTTATTGATCATTGTGTCAAGGTTGAATTAATAATGCATGTATAATATTATTAATTAATAGAACTACGTTGTAATTGTTATTATTATTATTATTATCATCAGGTAAACTCATTGAAGCAGAAGAATCAGAGAAAGGCCATGTCAAGTTCTCCACATACAAAGCCTACTTCCAAGCTGCTGGTGGTTATATTATCTCTATCCTAGTGATATCCCTGTTTGTAATCAGTGTAGGATGTACTGCCTTTAGTAACTGGTGGTTGTCATATTGGCTGCGTCAGGGAGGTGGGGTAAGATTGTTTTATATAGCAGTTATATTATTGATGATATAACATATACATTATCTCTATCCTAGCGATATCCCTGTTTGTAGTTAGTGTGGGATATACTGCCTTCTTGGTAAGATTACCAGTTATGTAAAAGGTGTTATGGAGCAGTTTCTGTAATTATTGTTGTTATAATAATAATAATAATAAAAATAAAAAAATAATAATAACAATTATTATTATTATTATTATTATTATTATTGTATCCAGTGATATTTAAAAAAAAAGATGTGAGTTTATGAAGGTGCAGTGCTATGTACTGCAGCTCTGTAGATGACACAGTCATGTGATATAGGCCTTTTGACGTAGCGCTGAAATGTCATACCACATATTCTGTACTGGGTATATAATACATGTTTAGTCTTTTTAGAAACAATTTAACTATTTCACAATCACTGAGACAAGAGACAGTGAAAAACCTTTTTTACACACAAAATCGTTTTCTCTGTAGGGTGTAAATGTCACTGTGGGCAACAGGACAGTGTTCAGTGATAACATTACAGACAACCCTGACCTTGACTTCTACACCCTGATCTATGGAATGACCATAATAGCCATCCTAGTGACCACTTGTATCAGGGGATTCGTCTTTATGAAGGTAAGGAGAATCTGTCTTATTTTTCAGTTGTATATAGCCATAATCAGTGATGTAGTACAGCTGTAGTGTGGTGAATGTACATGAAAAATAGGTGGAGGTCTGACATGCTCTTCAATCTTGTGTTCTCTTGTTCAAAGAAGTTACAGTGATATCCATTTAAATTGCAATGGTTTATACTATTTTGCCATTTTCATTTTCAGACAACCCCTCTCCCCATGCCTTTGATAGATCAGAAAACTAGATCTATTTAAATTATTTATATCCCCATTTAGATTGGTTAAGTTTATATATATTACCATTGTTTCCATTTCCAGACCACCCTTCATGCCTCCAGCAGCCTTCATGACAGCTTATTCAGCAAAGTGTTCAGGAGTCCCATGAAGTTCTTTGATACCACTCCCACTGGCAGAATACTGAACAGGTTCTCCAAAGATTTAGATGAAGGTAGTAAACAGCGTCATATTTTAAATAAAAGTTTGATATCACCTCTGTGTTATCTCTATCAACTGTGATTTACTGAATATTTGATTTCATTGACTTGTTCACCTGAACATCACAGTATTCTGCATAAGTATTCCAGTATCTAGTAACCTGTCATTATTTCTTCAGTTATTGTCATTTTATATAATATAATGTTGGCTAATCAGAAAGCATTTTTTAACAAAAACAATATTGGTACACATGTAATGCACAAAAATGTATAAATTTGATGGTGTAGGATGTGCATGTAAATTTGTTTTAAATGAACATTAGGAAAACTGCAGGAACATACATTTATATTCCTTGACAACAAGGAGATCATTTTCAATTATTAAAAAATTTTAAAACTTATCTTCTTCCCCAGTTGATGTGATGCTTCCGTTCCTGTCAGAGCAGTTTCTTCAGAACATATGCCTCATTCTGGTGTCTATAGGCATGATAGCAGCCGTCTTCCAGTGGTTCCTCATCGCAGTGGTCCCACTCATCGCTGTGTTCTTCTTTCTATACATCTGCTTCCGTGTGGGAATACGGGAACTGAAGAGGCTGGATAATACCACCAGGTATGGAAGGCAATTTGTAAACTATTTATTTATTTATTTATTTATTTATTTATTTACATTAACATGTTGGTAACTTTCTGAGGTTCAGTTTTGGTATCACTTAGAAAGTCTAAATACTAGCTGTGACAGAAGATTTTTTTTTTGATAAATTTTAATTAATTTTTAAAGCATTAATGCTAACTATAATTATTATTAATTCTCCAGGTCCCCACTATTCATTAATGATAACTATTTAAATTATTAATTCTCCAGGTCCCCACNGCTGTGACAGAAGATTTTTTTTGATAAATTTTAATTAATTTTTTAAGCATTAATGATAACTATAATTATGATTAATTCTCTAGGTCCCCACTGTTCATTTATGATAACTATTTAAATTATTAATTCTCCAGGTCCCCACTGTTCATTAATGATAACTATTATTATTAATTCTCCAGGTCCCCACTGTTCATTAATGATAACTATTTAAATTATTAATTCTCCAGGTCCCCACTGTTCAGCCACATCACTGCCACTATACAGGGTCTCTCCACTATTCATGCATACCAGAAAAATGAGCAATTTATGAAAAAGTTAGTATCTTCTTATTGCTGCCAGTTATCTTGTCAGTGAAGTGAGAGAATGTTTACTGTTGGTTTAACCATGTTGCATGTTACACTTGTTTTATGTTGTTTTTTTTCATTCAAGTCAGAAATTATTTTATTTTAAGATATGGATTTAAATATCATAATTTTTCCATAACTCATTACATATATTTATATATATATATGCAGGAAATTATGTATCTGTTGTTACTGGATAAGTTATCTGAAATTCCCAGGATATTTATTCACATAGGAAGGAATAAATGACAATTCCTACTGAATTTGGGACTTTGTATATACTTAAAAAATGAAAATTGCCTTTTTCCATGGAGGAGGTAGCATTATTGTAGTGTTATCGAGTATTATATATTTAATATCACTATCCAGATGTTTGAAACTTCGTAAACACGCTTTTTTAATCAGGTGCCAGTCCAGAGTTTATAGCAATTTTCACTATATCTTTTTGTTTCTTTTAAACCTTAGATTTAAAACTCTCATGGATGAGAACACAGTCCCATTTTTTATGTTTAACTGCGCCATGCGTTGGTTGGCAATACGCCTGGACTTGCTCACCATTCTCATAACAACAGTCACCGGCATCTTGGTCATCATCACGCCGACAGAAGTCATGCCACCAGCACTTGCTGGGCTGGCATTGTCTTATGCAATACAGGTAAAGAAAGATCATACATATATGCCCATTAAATGAGCTCATCTTCTACAGGGGGTAGTTAGTTATTATGTCGTCACTAGAAATTATATCGCTGGCTCTTGGTGAGTTGTCACTGCCCTAGGCCTATGCAATACAGGTAAGGGAACGACACACATATATATTTATATGTACATTAATCTTTAAGTTAGGATTTAAAGGAGAGTACTAGCAGCTATAGTGATTAATTATATGATGGCAAAAAATACTTTACACACTTCTACCAGTTGATGATTATATTGCTGTCAGAAATCATACCCCTGACTCGTATGTTGCTGGTAAGGGAAGGCCATACATGTACCCCTCTATATATCCATTAATGGGATAGTAAAGGTAAATTATTGACCAGTGTCTAATTAAAGCTTCCACCAGTGAACGCAATGTATGGTGAGATATAACTGTAATTTTGTCAATAAGTTGGTGTATTAAATTTGAAAGATTGATTAACTAGTAAATGAATTGAAAAGTAAAAGTAGAAGGTGAAGTTTTACCTTAACTTGGGAATTTTTACAAATACAGTGTGACAGTCTTTCCTCTTTTAACCCATTTTCATTTCCTGAAGATACAAAACAACTACTTTTTGGAGTAGAAAAAGGACCTTGGTTCCTTTGCTCATTGAAATGTTTTAGCCAGTAAATGGGACAAAATTTCTCTTTCTTTCTAGTCTCATTTATAAAGGATAGCATTTTTAACTTGTTAATTTATTGTTGTTCTTTAAGAATTACTATACTGTTCTAGTGCATATCTTGTAAATATATAAATGGAGATGTAAATCAATTAAAATTAATACTATCATTATTATTATTATTATTATTATTATTATTATTATTATTTCCAGATGACTGGGTTGTTCCAGTTCACCATCAGACTGTCTATAGAGTCTGAGGCCAGGTTTACCTCTGTAGAGAGAATACAGCATTACATACAGGTAAGGCTAGGTTTATCTCTGTAGAGAGAATACAGCATTACATACAGGTAAGGCTAGGTTTACCTCTGTAGAGAGAATACAGCATTACATACAGGTAAGGCTAGGTTTATCTCTGTAGAGAGAATACAGCATTACATACAGGTAAGGCTAGGTTTACCTCTGTAGAGAGAATACAGCATTACATACAGGTAAGGCTAGTTTTATCTCTGTAGAAAGAATACAGCATTACATACAGGTAGGCACAGGAAACCTTTATCCAGTTTTTTCAAAATTTGATATTTTGTCTGTAAGTTTACTACATAAACTAGGCACAGTAACACCATGCCAGGAAAATTAAGTTTTTCTTAATGTCTATGAATAGAGTTACTATTCAATCTCTTCAACAAGCAAAATTATCAAACCTTCATATATAAATAATTTTATAATCAGGAAAATTATATTACTGCGTAGCATTTGTGGTACTTGAACTGCTTAGAAAGAAATATAGAGTAGCCTGATTTCTAATGTTGTTGCTGCAACTCGATAGCAGTGTTCTAATTTTAAGAAATTATGACTTAAGAAATACAGTATTTGTAAAATTAACCATTTTCCCAACATTAAAAAGATTGGGTAATAACTGTAATTTTTTATGGGTTGCTTAGAGATTCTCTTTAATGGGTGCACCAGATGATACTGAGCAGAAGTGAAGTTAAAGATAGATGAAGGCATGGCATTCACGTTTTTGTGAAATATCATCATTGAATATCTGAAAATTATATACAGTTTATGTGTAGAGTAAGAATTGATTTAAATTTAAGGTTTGAATAATTTGAACCCTTTTTTTAATTATTCATCTTTTAAGAATCTGGAGTCAGAAGCGGAAGCAGTAGTAGAAGAAAACCGTCCCCCTGCCAACTGGCCGTCTGAAGGCCATGTCACATTCCAGCGAGTACGAATGAAGTACCGCCCCAACCTGCCCCTGGTGCTGAAGGGGATCTCGTTTGAAATCAAGCCCAGGAAGAAGATAGGGATTGTAGGAAGAACTGGATCAGGTAAGTCCACACTAGAGTTGGAAGGGGGTCTCAACCCCCAAACCAGCTGTCTTATGTACAAAAATTTATTTATTTATTTTTCATTACACGATTGTTTCATGTATGTCCATGTCATTAACTTTATAGAATGAAATGTTATATTCCTGCTGTAACACTTTTATGCAGGATGAAACTTTATACATAGTATATAATGAGGTTACATTTTGCATAGATGGATAATTTTTTTATTGAATTCCTTAACTGTCCCAAACTTGATTTGTAACATGGCACAAAGAAGGTATATCATATAATTGTTATAAACTTTGTAAAAAGTGTATTAGAAACCAATGAGTGAAAGCCTTTTAACTGTAAAAAGGGGAATTATCTTTTGGATTTTATAGTATGATATGCGCATTATTATTATTATTTTCACTATATTTGTTTATCATGTAGGAAAGGTCCAGTCTAGTCTTAATTTGACAAAATTGGCTAGAACATCTTAAGATTAAGAATGTCTTTCAAAGGTCCAATTAAGTTTTTTTTCTTTTGTATCTTATTTTATATCATATATATGCATATTATTATTAATTATCAATAATTTATTGAATTTATATGTTTATCATATAGGAAAGTCCAGTCTGGGTGTGTCCCTGTTCCGTTTGGTGGAGTTATCAGCAGGGAAGATAGTGATAGATGGTGTAGACATAGGCAGTATTGGACTGGATGATCTCAGATCCAAACTGTCCATTATTCCACAAGACCCTGTGCTATTTGTGGGAACAGTCAGGTAAGGTGGTATACAGTGAATGTTAGACCTTATGTAAAAAAANTAAAATTTCAAAGTGACTTTAGTCTATTTAACAATATTTAATAATTTAGTAATTTAATGAGATAAGTATTCTGGACAACTAATCATTTTCCTTCCTAGGTACTTCAATCAACTTGTCATCTTGAACAAGGTCCCTAGTGTATTTCTTATCCTTGGCGTATCGTACGCCGTCGTACAGCTCATAGGAGTTCTCCTCATGTTTGAAAGGGGACAAGCGGACTTGGTACGTACTTACGTGACTATCGTGTCTTTTTGTGACATACTAGAGTGGCTTGTCTTGGCGTGACCTAGCGTGACCTGCTGAGGCTTGCTTCACAAAAGAGCTCGTAAAATTGGTGTAAACTTTAAAAAGTACCTTTAAGATAAATCAGTAGGCTAGTAGTGCAATGTAATATGCTGCTGTTTTATAACTGCGACGTGTTCGGAATTATTTCTTATTATTATTTATAACAATCACGCTTATATTAAGTTTAAAATTAAGTGCCTAGTTTGAAGTTCTTATATTAAAGTCATAATTGTGATCCTTCGTACTTATTCGGTCAACTTCGTGTCATTCCGCTGAGGTGCGAGACCTGCCGAGTTGCCCCGATCTTGTTACACGAATTCGTTCTTATTTCAGGACAGTGGAGACTTGTACGCTATAGTGATAGGCAACAGTAACAGTTCTAATGAGTCAGACAGTCTGTTGCCCGGCCACCGTACTACCAGAATAACAGCGTAAGTTGCCTGACTATACTCAGTAGGGTCCAGGGGGAGGGGAAGCAGCTGATAGCACCAGTCCTTAACATTTAGCCTCCCTTAACTGCCTTGTTGTCAACAGACATGCCTACCAAATTAATTTAAATCATTCAATATTCTAGTACAGCCTAAAAAGAGTGACAGCAGTGTATCACGTCATTGGAGATGAAGAAAAGGAAGAGACCTCTCTAGAAATGAGGCAAATTTTTCTTCTCAGCTCCAGTTGCCTCCCCGGCCCGTTTTTAAAAATCTGCCAATTTTTAACGAAATTTAGATGCGAATTTTAAAAAGATCTGAAATCGATAAAAAAAGAAGAAAAACCGCACTCTCGTACAATTAACGTTCATCACTTATGAAATAATTGTTTCTCAACGCTCTTTGTCTGCTACACTTATAGTTCTTCTATTTTACTTGATATGGTAATTTGGTCTTCATGACTTTTGCGCGTGTCGGAGCCAAACGTTCTTTTAAAATTTTATTCTCTGTTAATTAGAAGCGGCTCCAAGGTCCCAGGTGAGGAAAGGTCGCTTACACCAATAGCAATGATGAAAACCAAATCATTTTATATCATGTGGCTGGTGTTCTTCTTCAATAGTCAAGTTTTACTGGAAGCTGCCGGTTCGTATAAGGTAAGAATCAGGTATCTGTACTCTATCTTCACACAATATCTTTTCTTTTTCTTTAAAGTGATAATAACTCTTCGTTTCGGCCAAAAATGAATTTTCCTGGAGTAAACAACAGTTTTCCCATACTTACCAATGGTTAATGAATCCATTTTTACATTCAAAGTTAGTCCCTGGTTTTTTCCTAAAAAGTTTGGTTTTTTGTTAAAATCTCTTAAAAGATTATAACAGAGTATAGCCATCAATGGAGGTCACCTGGTCTAAAGACAAGCTCAGATATCAGAATAATAGTTATAACTGCCGTTTTTGTGGTAAAACAGAATATATTATATTTCTATGAGTTATTCTCAATGTTTTTATTGTGAAATATAGATCTCATACGAAGAGTTATTATCCCTTTAAGTGTGTGTGGGTGTGGATGTGTTTGTGTGTGTTATTTAAGTATAATGAATGCACTGCTATATTAGTTGCATTCACACATGGTCATGTCAGATCGATACTCGGTCTAATTATTAAAATTCTCTGACATACATTGAGAGACCATCAAAGGATTACGCGGTCTTCCTTTTATGTAGGTCAGCCATGTTTAGGCCTCGGCCTTGCTAGACCTCGGCTCTTCACTATGTGAATGCTCACTTTGGCGGACGCACATGGTCTCTCTCTCTCTCTCTCTCTCTCTCTCTCTCTGTGTGTGTGTGTGTGTGTGTGTGTGTGTGGTAAGGGGTATTTATAATCATCTGTTCACGTAGGGCCAAATCAAAAAAGCCAATTTCTTAGTTTGTATATCTACTAAAACAATCGTTGGTGAACGCAACATGTGTGTCTCAGTAGTGGAAACATTACGTTATAATTTATAGATAAAACTTTATCATTAATAATGTTGAAAATCTTAACGCTCGTCTGTGCAGGGGTGTATTATTACATTGTAAACTAACATTCTATGTTATGAACATTTATATACTGTAAAGGTCAAAATGAGATGTTTTGAGTCAAACAAACTAACATTTATATTTATTGACCAGGTATACGGACAAAACTTCATCCAAAGCGACTTATTTCTGCTCGGAGTCCTAAGCGTGGGCTCGTTATTCAATGCCGGAGGACGTGTGTTTTGGGGATATATGGCAGACAGATATGGTTTCAGGGTGAATGTTGTATTTATACATAATTTGACGTCATATAACGTGACGTCAGATACTGCTTACGTAATAACGTACTTTCTGTTCAGTGTGGGTAGAATACAAACCGAGGGTCATGCTCCTCAGTAGCTGTTATTATTTTCTAATCTCTTTAAAGGAAAGTCATTAGATCTACGTTTTTATCAGCGGTAATTTTTCAGTCTTATAAGGGACAAGATATTTAGAAATATTTACAAATTCCAATGCAATTTTAAGGATATACAGTTATTTAGAAAGTAATGTTGAGGTTACAATTTCCACAAAATTATTTTTCAGAATTCTAATTCTCAATTTCGCTTGTAGAAGTCTTCGATCTTGAAGTGCTCTCTGGTTTCTGTACATCCCAGCAAAAACAACGGAATTATAACGTTGCCAGAACGTTTATAAAACCCAAAAACGTATTGGTAACGTTATGGTAACGTTCTGTGTCAGCTGGGGTGTGTTTTCATATATTAGTTATTTTTACATTATTATTTTTCATTATTTCTCCTCAGGTTTGCTTAATGTGTCTGTGCGCCTTCACAATGGTTCTCATCACCACGCTTGACTTCTGCCGTGACACTCACTCTTCTACGGCGGCACAGAGCATGTTCTTCATCTGGTTCTGTCTCATTTACATGGCTACAGGCGGGAGCTTTACTTTGTTCCCGATGGGGACGGCGAAGACGTTCGGCCTCAAGCATGCTGCTTTAAATTACAGTTTTGTCTTTTCATCTCAGGTAGGAAGGATTTACAAATGGGAAATCGAGGTTATGGGTTAAAAACCGTTTTACTCTTTTTAGGGAAGGGGAGGGGGGTTAAGGGTTGTGAGGAATAAAGAAAGAGGGTATTTCTGAAGGTAGATATGGGTCGCAGGAACCCCCCCCCCATCCCCTCTGAATCCGCCGTTGGTCAAAAAAACGTCTTAGATAAAATATATATTTAAGGTGAGAATAGTTAGGAAACTTTCGTCTTGGTTATCCACTTTAAAGCATATACATTGATAATAATACCATGTGATGATTTCCAGATCGCGGCATTTATAGTTGGAGCTCTCTTAACGCAGTATGTGTACAGTTCTATGGTCTGGTCCTCCACGTTTCTCTGCGTCGCTGGATTCTCTTTCTTAGGTTGAGCATAAATTTTCATATCTCTGCTATTATTTTATTTTTATAGTTATTATTATGTCGTAAGGTTTGCATTCTTTGGCTTTTTTAGATGCTGCTAATAAACTTACATTCTATCTCAATTTTTATAATGCTAGTATATTACAATTCACAAGTAAATTTATACGGTAAGATTTAATTCATGTTGAGTCAATGATATATTTGAATTATCCGTTCCAGGATTGTTCACGGCCTTTTTCTTCGATGCCAAGAGATGGGACGGTAGTGACATATGAAGGTCAAGATCAATGGACCTGTGCGTGTATCACCATGGAAATGAGTTAGGACAGTCCGTAACCAAGGATTTAACAATATGTCAAATCTTAAAAGTAAACGTTTGTATAAAGACATTAGTTTCACACAACTGATAAGATAAAATAGGACGACTTATTCTTAAGAGATGAGGACGGGCATAAACAAGAGTAGTTTAAAAACTTGCTGGCGGACGTTAAACGCTGTACTTCGTAAGATACATCAATTTCAAATAAAATGTGATGACTAGTTTTTCCCTGAAAACCAAGCAAATCGTATATGTTTAAATTCTTTTTCCAAAGAAAAAAATTACAAAACGGGTTTTGCTTTCATTTAGGTCTACATTTTCTCAAGACAATTCAAGCGATTGCGAACATTAAAAATATTCAGAGTTATAGACTTGAGTTATTGGAATGAAAAGATGGCCATATCTTTTCTTAATTAGCAATAAAACTGTTTCAAAGTAAAATCATGTTCTTCATGAACGTGGCTGAATCTGTGGATAAATTCCAGGTTTCAAAATAAATGTGTGTAATTAGAAAGGGAGTAGAAAAATAAAACGCACGTACCTGAACGACGTTAGTCGTCCAAGACATACAGAAATTAAACATCTAAAAGTAATCGACGACGCAGATAGACCAAGGGGTTTGCTAAGACTGGGCACTTGTCAGCATGGTGTCACTCAGAATACCTACAACAGTGGATAAGGACAATCTCACTATACTACACATTTTATTTTTTTGAATTTATCAGTGCAGTCGTTTGAATATTTAACTTTTCTATTTACCTAAGCGAAGCTTGCGATCTCAACTGTGACCTTCCTCAGTGTGTGTTCCTCCGAGACTGATCGCTATTCATGCAAAAAAATACAAGAATATAAATGATTTATATTGCTATATTTCTTACTACAAAGGAACGAACAGTTTACACAATGCATGATTAATATGTTTTTGCTTCTGTCAGTTTGTTAGTTAAAAACAAAGCGCCAAATGTTATGGAAGGATTTAATGAAATAATTTTGAATTCTCAGGATAGGCTACAAATGGGGCATGACTAACCTACCTACTCGACATATTTTTGGCACTTTTTGACGTTTTTTTTTTTTTCATTTTTGATTTAGAATAATACGGCAAGTACTTTGCATACTGTACTCAAGGAAGCACATTTGTGGGTTATTGGTAGTCATCTTTGATTTTCAAATTTGCTGGAGGTTGCCAACATGGCAACCAAACTAGATTTTCTCTATGGGGCCATGGGACTCCGAATAAAAAAGTACAATTTTTCTTCGATCTAAGCCATTTGTCTGTTTTAATTTTTTGTCAGTAAATTTCACAACTTGTAATTTTTTGTTTTCCGATACGTTGTTATAGACTGGTTTTTCAGGTGTTGCATGCGTAAAGCAAGTGTGTAATGAATATGCACCGCCTTTTTGCCATTGATATTGTAATCAAATACGGCTAGACAAGAAAACGAAGACCGTAGTCATGGCATTATTCTTAGACTATATGCAATGACTCTCCTAACTGCTCGACCTATTGGGCTGGGACGCGTGATGCCACATGTAATGCAGTATTCTTATATATATATATATATATATATATATATATATATATATATATATACCCTGTGTATGTAATCAATTCATGGCGTGGTATTGATATAGATTTAATCAAACCATGAAGATCTAGTGAATACGGTTTTATGACTGACGGATATCAAGAGTCGGAGGTGCATCTGACGGAAATTTCGGACAAACAAAATAAAGCATTAGCAGAGCTCGTGTTCCCTAAGTGGAATCTTAGACTGCATTCCCATAGATTTAGATCGATCCATCTAGATCGATCTAACTCCCTGGGGGTTCACGCTGAATTTCAGTCAGCCGAGCGTGCACGACAGTTAAATACCCCCTTACAGTTTTTAGTAGGCGGGACAGACGCTTAAGCCGGCTAAGCTGACAGTAATCTAGTGAGATTTTCCACAGGGATAGATCGGTCTAAAATCTGTGGGAATGGGGTCTTAAATGCACATCTGTAGAATGGGGAGAGGCCAGACATAAATTAATTTTTTGGAACATTAGTCCGAATCCCCTTCATCACCCTAACACAGTGTGTTTTGTGGAACATACAAATCCGCTTTATTCAAAAGCCACTTAGTTTAAATTTTGCCCCCCCCCCTCTCCCCGCTGCTCCCCGAAGCATTTTGTATGTATAGTCTGACTATAATTTGGGTGTTATATCCCGCCTTTTTACATAGATATGACACCCATTTATTTGAATTTAAACTCGTACTGAAATGACCCTACTTAACTTCATTTCTCACGTCTTGCAAATTGTAGATTCTAAGTTAAATAATATATTTCATAATATTCTGTATTTCATATGTTGATGTTTATTTGTAACAATAGTCAATCGTAAAGGCGATCCCTGAGTTGTTCAGCATATCGACGTATCGACAGATAAATAAAATCCACGTGCGCAGCTATCTATTTGAGGACCTGTTTATCAACAGAGTCCTGATTGTCAGTGTAGATAAGCTCTTAGTAGCGCTGATTCCTCTTAAGGGCACCGCTTTATATGGTTTTGTCGAACGCGTCATGCATCAACATCATCCACAGCAGGAACTGCTGAATCAGAGGGGTTTTATATATCTGTATTTTAGTCCCTCAAAAAAGCTTCTGCAATAGATGATATTGAGTCCAGCAGAATCTGAGTATTTTCTAATATGAGACCAACGGATCTGCTTTGATTGTATTTTTAAACTTTAAACGCTTTAAACAAAGTTTAGGTGCTATCTGAGAGACTGGGACAGAGCAGGCAATTTGGAGAATCGTTTTGGAGTTGCAATCCGTCCAAGTTGTTTCATCACGATAGGACATTTTTAGCTCTGTTGGACCTCTGTACGACAAGGCAATGGATCGCTTGCTTAAGTTAATGTGTTTAAAACGAGATTCATTCTAGATGACATAGATTATTTCTGGTATTTTGCCTCAGTGGACCAGTGCGGACAACAATATTTAGGAGCAGTAGACATTATTCACTGAAACTAAACAGGATCGTCGAAGCTTAACTGAAAAATGAAATACTTAAGGCTTAAACAATCTAACCTCAACAGCAGACGCCTAAATAGAGGGAACTGCTGTGTAATGTGACGATCTACTTTTGGTTAGATATTCGCCTTCAATGACAATTTCATAACACAAAATGCCTTATCACGTGATCGCCGACAAGGACATTATGTGTTAATAGGTGATGGTGAAAATCAACATGCGAAATCTTTTCACCCTAGTGTGACATTTCAGCTGTCATTTATGACAAAGGAAAGTGGTTATTAATTTTCACACATTTTTATTTTAATTTTGAAGACCAGATAAATCGAGAATAAGGAGGACATATGGAATGCAAAGGCGTGTTAGCACTCATCGGCGGCATTTTGCTGCATTTGACACTTGGAGCAGTCTACTCGTTTGGTAGGTATGGTGGCGACATCTATTGATGTGTCACGACACCAATATGCACCGCATTATTATTATTATTATTATTATTATTATTATTATTATTATTATATTGTATTGAATGTAAGGTCGGCAAGAAACATTACGGAAACATCGTTCATTAGACCGACTGTAGCTTATCAAAATTTAATGTTTTGCAGCTTTATTCTCTATTCTTTATCCGTCTATTTTAATTTAAAAAATGAGAGAAAATTGGCGAGATTGTTCAGGTTTACGTCTGTTCGTGTCCTGTTTTTTAGAAAAAAAAAATACCGGATGGGCAGCCATTCAGTAGCGACGTCTATTGGCGTCAATACAAACTAAAGGAATGTATTATGGTTGATATTTAATTTAGGAAATATGACGGTGTACGTGACGTCATACCTGAGATTCAAGACGGTCTCTACAGAAATGAACTACCACAAAAGCGTGTTTCTGTACGGCATTACCCAAATGTGTATAGACTTAACAGGGTTCCTGGGGGGGATGGTGGAGAGGAGATTTGGGGCACGTCTGGCTGCGCTAGTTGGAGGCTGGACAATGAGGTAGGAACAATGAAAAACCTTAACTGTATGCAAAATTTTCTAATAGGATTGTTCCTATTGGATTGTACCGGGGTATGGAACTTTATAGGAATTATGTAGGGAAGTATGGGACTTGTTTCAAAGGACGTCCTCTAGGGCCCTAAAGGGGATTTCTTAAGGGTAGTAATGCATCCGTTTTCTACATTGAATTTAGCTGATAATCATTTCTTATTAAAAAAATAATCATTTCATTTATAATAGAGCTACCCTGGTGTAATCAGGACAACACTTTCAGTGTATAACATAAATCCACCTTTTGGAATAAAGGAATAGAATGAACGTTAGACTTTAACATTGCAAGGATAGTTTTCTAGAAATTAAAAAAAGCGATTTTCATTTTATCAGCAGCGTAAATTCAACCCAAAACCACTGGCTAAATAACGATCTACAGTATTTCGATTTATCAGCTGTTAATTTTTGTGTCACTTTCGTAACTGTATTCCCAAAATAATCAGTATTTTCTACCACTTTCAGTTTGGGCGTTGGCCTCACGTATTACAGCATAAAGGGCGGTTTTGGTACCTGTCTGATAACCTATGGCATCGTAATGGGGCTGGGTGCTGGCATTGCTTACCCCATACCCATGTCCATTACAATGAGGGTATTTACTTTATAATTAATTGATTATTTATATTTAAATAATGAATGAAGTTAAGTAATTCACAGATGAACTCAGAGACATCATATTTGTTCCGAACATTTCAGTCTCTTTCTATTGACCCCTACCAACTGAAAATAGGATAAATAAATAAGGGAAAGACGTATACAGCGCGTCTTATAAATATAATTATTTTATATATATCTTAGATCCCATAAGACCCATTCCCAAAGACACCCTCGGTCTACTTATATCGATCCAACTTTGCGGGGACTCTCGCTGAGTGCAGTGATCGTAACTGAATGACACACCACCTCTTTTACCAACGTACTCTCATAATCACAACAGCTTTTCTGTATTTTACTCAAGCCAGGAGGAGGCGTGTCATTCAATTAAGCTGATTGCACTAAGCGAGAGTCCCCACAGAGTTGGATCGATCTACACAGACCGAAAATGTCTTTGGAAAAGGAGCCATAAATGCCATTTACATTTTTATTGCACAGAGTTCCTTTATTCCAGTGGTTTCCCAATCATCGTGGTTTGGTTGCTGGCATTGTGTTGGCCGCATTTGGAGGAGGAGCCGCTGTATTTGACCAGCTACAGACGTTCTACATCAACCCAAATAATCTGAAGCCAGACAGGGCGGAATATTTTCATAACACCGAAGTGGAGTAAGCACGCGACGTTTTATATCTTAATTCACTACCGTTTGAAGCTAACAGCGTCCACCAATATATCACAGACATTGGAATCAGCTAGATTAAACATGAAAATACAATTATTATTTCTAAATATATATTTTTTTGTTTTTTTTCCAAGCTATTTCAGTCAAGATGAAGTGTTGGATAGGGTTCCGCATTCATTTCTTTTTCTTGCTGTGGCGTTTGCTGTTCTTCAGGGGCTTGGTACACTGCTGTTGTGCTCCCCAGTGTCAGACGTGAGTAGGCCATACAATGACTGACCCGGGGGGGGAGGGTACACAGCGTTCAGGGACCCTACCTTAGATTTTGAGCTACCTTCACCACCTCTTGATAATTCTCAAAAGTTTATAATGAGCAAAACAAGACAATATCAAACAAAATATCTGTTCCTCTCCCCGACACTCTCTAATGAGAGTGCGCTCGTTTGCTGTTTTGTATTATTATCCCTGTGAAAATATTTTTACAGTAAATTGCATATCTCTATGTATTTTAACTTTCGACAACGTAGCGGGTTAGGTTTTCTTCGGAGTTGATTTGCTTGAGGACACGATAGCTCATAAAAGCTCTTCATAAGTATTTTTTATTTCAATATTTTCAGGACAAAGGGTATTGAGCCGTGAATAGAAGCACAAAGTGGTAGCAACTTTCAATGAAATCCAAGTGTCTTGATGTTTTTAATTTATATTAAAATTATTATTAACATTTTGCATTGGTGGAAGCTTGAAATCTCTCGATCTGCGCTCAAATTTTTACTTATTTTTTAATTTTATTTTCAGAGTGAAATGTTTGCCGTGGTGCCTACTCTCACTCGCAGCGTGGTGGACAGCTGTACCTACCGGTCCACCAACACCGACTACGAGGCTTCTGGGAGGACAGATGACAGCACGGACAGCCTTATGCCTGGACCCAAGTTATACAGGGTTACACAGTGAGGAGAGAGAGAGAGAGAGAGAGAGAGAGAGAGAGCAGAGAGAGAGAGAGAGAGCCAAGAGAGAGAGAGAGAGAACCAGAGAGAGAGAGAGAGAGAGAGAGCCTAACTAAGAGAGAGAGAGAGAGAGAGAGAGAGAGAGAGAGAGAGAGAGAGGAGGGGCGGGTCAAGGACATGCCNGAGAGAGAGAGAGAGACAGAGAGAGAGAGAGAGAGAGAGAGAGAGAGAGAGAGAGAGAGAGAGAGAGAGAGAGAGAGAGAGGAAACCTAAAAAAAGAGAGAGAGAGAGAGAGAGAGAGAGAGAGAGAGAGAGAGAGGGGAAACCTTAACTAAGAGAGAGAGAGAGAGAACCAGAGTGAGAGAGAGAGAGAGAGAGAGAGAGAAGAAAGAGAGAGAGAGAGAGAGGAAACAGGATAAGAGAGAGAGGAAGAGAGAGATAGGAGAGATAGGGAGAGAGAATGATAGAGAGAGAGAGAGAGAAATCTTAAGAGAGAGAGAGTGAGGGAATATAACCTGAAATAAGAGAGAGAAGAGAGGAAAACCTACAGCAAAAGACAGACAGAGAGTGAGAGAAAGATAGAGAGGAAACTTAAAATATGAAAGTGTGAGAGATTTATGCAAGAAAGAGAGAGAGAAACCTTATTGATAGCCTAAGTATGAACCATATCAGTAAAACAATATCCGTTTTAATAGAGAATTTACAATAGACAATTTACCCATATTTATTTTGTGTATTTTAGCAGCGGCACTAACCTTAGCTTCCTAGAGGAGAGCGCAGAGACCTTCAAAGTGTCGACCCTGCTCTGTGACCGTTGGTTCTGGGTGCTTTGGTTTATGTACTTCTTGAATGGAGAGTGCACCTTGCACGCTAGTCTCTACAAGGTAAAACATCGGTTTGATTACCTGCATAGAACACCCGCTTAGAAAGCACATTTAAAATGTGGGGCGTGCTAGCCAATCAGCTAAAAGAAGGTAAAAAAGATAAGGGGGAGATTGGAGATTCCCTTTTGCCCCATTCTTTGCTGATTTGTAATGGAAAATGACAAGAGACTAACCGGAGGTTTTCTGGTACGGATTTTTGACCAATATTGATGCAGTGGTGAGTAGAATTTTAATGTTTTTCTCCCACAAATATTTTCTTTGATATTAACATATTTGAAAACATAGTTAATTTCTCGTCTCACACTTTATGTCACATACCCGGCAGGTCTATGGGCAAACGTTCATAAAAGACGACCAGTTTCTGGCGCTCTGTGGATCCTTGGCGGCGCTCTTCAACGCGGGAGGCCGGATTTTCTGGGGCATTATCGTGGATCAGTTCTCATTCCGGGTAGGCATCAATTTGTCTCATATAACCTCCACTCACGGTTCTCAGTCTCTTCTAGAACATTTGGTGTATGTTTTTATGGTTCTAAATGTTGTTCTGTAATGAATGTAACAGTTCGAGAACTGTTTTTGGGAAGTCCTTCAGAATGTCCTAGAACAGATTAAGACCGTTTTTCATTAAAAGAAAAAAATATGTTATAGATCAGATTGAGAACCGTAAGTGAGCGTGAAATGAGACAAATTCATATACGCTTTATCAATTTGTTTAATGAAGTGTTAAATTGATATGTAGTAGTCTACATTCGAGTGAGTGGAAAGGTTCATACTTTTCACAGATTGGTTTTTATGTAGTTGTTTGAGCACAGTGTATTATTCAAATAGTTTATAATAGATTAAATGATGGCAAGTTACTAGTAAATCAACGTTTATTGATAATACATACCTAGGGATGTTATGTGACCGTGGCGATATGATGATCACTGAGGCCTGTCCATTTAGCCAAGCTTCAGTGAAGATCGAGGGCAACCTCGAGCCGCTACCCAAAAATATCTCGCTTCACTCGACATTTCTGCGTAGTGTCTCTCGGAAAACTCGGATTTAACCTCGATGTAGTCTAGAATTTCACGACTGCATCTTGGTTAAATCAGTCGAGGTCCCTTAAATGCTGAAAGCCAAAGAGAGAGTGATCATGTGGCCTTCTTGGCATCAAGAGAATAGTGACGTTGCTTGCGTTATATACCTACCAGTAGACAAATTTAAAATCTCTCACACCTTTAACAATTATTAATTAAAATTTTATTACACTAAGTCATATCATGTATGGTTTGAAAACGGGAATAAGCAAGGGTAATCCTAGTGTAGTGCCAGAGGCAGGTAGAACCGGCCGGGTAGCTCAGGAGGTAAGAGCACTCGCCCTGTAAGCGAGGGGTCCCGGGTTCGATTCCTGGTCTGTCTGTGATTTTTCTGCACTCACCCCCAAATAGCTACACCAGAGAGGGGTGAGAAACGTCCATTGTTCTCGTCAGTGAGGCTAACCAAATTAAGGATATGTAGGGGCCTACATGTACGCACAGACAGAAAACCATGTATTGTGGGAACGTTACTAATGAAGCCACTGGTAGTACTTAGATATCAGTCTGTAGTCTTGAACAAGCACCTCGTTGACGAGTGAACAGTTGTCAAAAACAAAATACCCAGGTGTGGTAGATCGAGTACTGTTCATGCGTGCCGCAAAGACCAAGCCTAATTACACCTCAAGGACACAAACCTACATCCGGTACTGACGGTTAGGCTCGTCATAATCATATAAGTAGCGCGTTTCCACCCCCTGGAATAAGTTTACATTTACGCCACACTTTTTAACGAGGGTTGTGTTATTTACCTTTTGTTTTTAAGCTGTTCATTCTTCCTCTTTATCAGATATATCGGTAAAAATCAAATATATTCCCCCTTTGAACTTGTAATTACATCTAGCACGTGAATGCTCTGAAAACCAGCACATGTATATTCCGAAACCGCCTCGTAGTAAAAAATGTCACCAAAACGAAGAATTATTACTCTTGTGGCCTTGAAATAAACATCCGTTTGATTTGACTATTTTCCGTAACCGCCTCGTTATCAGAAATAACAATAAAAACAAGAATTATAACTTCCGTGAACTTGTAAAAAACATCCGTCTGACTTTGACTGTATTCCAAAACTGCCTCGTTGTCAGAAATATCACCAAAAAGTAAATTTCTTTATCCTTTGCACTTGTGAAAAATTAGTTTGACTTTATTCCGGTCCGACGCTCCTTGTTTATCAGAAATGTCACTAAAAAGTAGAGATTTTGCCTTGGGATCTTTTTTCCGCAGCAGTCCCAGATAGGTGTGGCTCAGCTGAGACGCGCTGGTCAGTGTCGACGGTTGATTAAATACTTTTCAGTTGAACGTCCACGACAAGTATTTAATCAAAAATTGACCAAAATTGGTCAGATATTACGTAAGAATTTGGCTGGACGTGACCAGCGCACGTGGACGAGTTTATTCCGTATATTTATGTTATTGAGCAAAGAACTGATACACTTTGGATGTCTGTTGAAAATAAAAATTGCGCCTTCAGTGCACAACACAACAAACAGCTGCAAAATGAAGTTGTACATTTATAACTATTAAAACCTGATACCTTTCGTATCACCATAGTCAGGTGCAGATCCAAGATTATTTCAAGGGGTGGTCCTCGAATGCGAAGCCGACCCCCCCCCCCCCCCCCCCACCATATTGGCGTGGGGAAACTTTTTGATATTTTAGAGGGCGAACGGTGCCATATGGAGCGGTTTAGAACTATGATTCAGCTAGTCATTAATTTTTTTTATTTGAAGACGGGACCATTGTCGTGATTTTTTTCAGAAATTGAAAGGGGTGTCAGGACCCCCCTTACACCCCCCTAAATCCGCCACTGATATTTTAAAAAGTTCATAGCAGTTGTAATGTGGTCACTCCAATATGCAACGCTCCTTAGAGATAAATAAACTATTGTAGCTTCTAAACATTGTTCCGGAAGCAATTAGCTTACCTCAATATATAGGGAATAGTCTACCTAGCACATTCGCATAGGTATAGTCTTACATGTACAGACTTTATATAGGAGCACCAAGCACAATAGACTTCGTGTTAGGTCAAGTAGTGGAATTCCAAATTGTGACCAAGTCTTTGTTTTAAGAATTAATTTTAATTCAAAGCATTCGACTATAATTTTCAACCAAAGGTTCAGTTTACTTTGACCCAAATGAAATAGGTGAAATATAATAAAATCAAACATTTGGTAACAAAAAAGGCATTGGTAGGCCTAATAGTTCAGACTACTTACTTTATATATTAAAGTGCATTTCTGTGACTTCATCTTGAACAGCAGTAACCAAATGCTTGATTTAAGAATTTTGGCCAATTTCGAGCTTAACATCTCATTGAAAAAAAAAATAACGTGACAGAGAGTCCCCCATGATAGAGAATCTGCTCCCCAGTCTTTTGCACAGTTAAGCCTCGCCCTAGATTTTGACCCACTTATGTCAGGGAACCCCACATCTGTATAATAAAATGGAGGGCGGACTTTCTGTTACACAGACCCTCTGTTTCGTTACACCGGTCCCAAAACAAAAAGTGTCCTCCCTCACAAGGTCGGAGAACTTCAGAGCCTACGGTAGGAGGATGATCTGCCGCCAATTCACACCAAAGACTTTGATATTGTTTTCACACATCTTGCGTGTACTTGCTGAACAATTATTATTATTATGTGACGACCGGGGAAGTGTTTACCGTTGTGAATTTTGCATTTGTTTTGACAGGTTCAGTGTTTTCGCGTTCAGAACATTAACTTATGAACTGGTTGATGTTGCACCACGTGTAAAACGTTTATTACAGATTGTAGAACAGTGGGTTTAAAATACAGCGGCTCCCCCCCCTACCCCCCCCCCCCCCCAACCACCATTCCATAGACTGTTTAATTTAATCTAAAAGATGCTTCTTGTAAAACAGAACATTAAACCCCTCTGTGAACTGCGTGTAGAAGCACGAGTTGGTATTGTGCTGTAGCCATTATTGCAAAGTGCGGAACAGATCTGATAGGGTCATGAAAACTAAGCGACCCCCCCCCCCCCCCCCCCCCGCCCCCGGCCACTATTCCACGGTCTGCACATTTAATTAAATCTAAAAAGATGCCACTTGTAAAACAGAACATTAAGCCCCTCTGTTAACTACATGTAAGAGCACTGGGATGTCTGGGTGGTGTGAAGCAGACGCTGCAGGTTGTTTTATTGGTGGGTCGACGCTGATCAAAAGGCGCCTGGTGTTTTTGTTTTTCTTCTTTTGAAATTGTTTCCAAGTATTGCCTGGTTTACTGTTTTACATGGGCTACTAACAAGAAGTACAAGTGGATTAATCAGAAAATAATATCGGTGTTTATAACAATTACTAGATCACACATCTTCATTTCTGTTTGTTAATAACATCTTTCACACCTGGACGCAATATACACGTACTGGATCTGGCCGTGGGCGATTAAGGTTTCACTGATGTTAGAGTCCAAAACAGAAAAAGACAATAACATTTTCACGCTGTTTTTCTTTGATTCCTATCCATATGTGTTACAGTTATTTGTTTTTCTCACCTTTCTGTCTTTTAATGCCATACAAAACTAATCTTTTGTTTCAGAATATGAAGGGCATCTTTCTACAGAGTACCAGCTTTGCGGGCGACAGATCTTGTCAGCTGCCAACACCATTTTTTACAAAACGGAGATTTTAGAAATATCATACTTCTGATTTGAAACCGTCCAAATGTTTCGACCAGTGTTTGTTTATTTATTTAATCCTCTTAAGTCATGGTATACTCATATTTTTACTTTGCAGATTACCATTCTTGCCACTTGGTTCCATTCTACACCTTTAAATTATATTTTCTTTCAACTGTTTTTTCTAAAATCCGTCTTTCTCTCACTGCAGACGACCATCCTTGTTTTAGATGTAGCCGTCATTGCCCTGTCTCTCACCATGCCAGCTACAGAATATGGCGGGAAATACATGTTTCTCATCTGGAACTGTCTCTTGTTTGGCGCGTATTCTGGCATTTATTCCTTGTACCCCGTTGCTATTGTGCGGGGCTATGGCGTAGCTGAACTGTCATTGAAGTATGGATTGTTGTTTTCTTCACAGGTAATGTAGACGCTTGAACATTCCTTATTTTTTCAGTAGAATCAAGAAAATAAATTGGAAAACAAATTATAGAAATTGTGGCCGAAAACAATTTTTATAAAAACGGAAATAGCATATATGTGGAATACTCTGTTTTGATATTCAGCTTATGTGATAAGTCAAATATAATATCGCTTGTGGTATTTTTCGAAGTGTCAGACGTTGGATAAGTGAGATAACAAGCCCCGCGAACACCCACTCTGCAACTTCATAATCACTTTCTAATACAACACAAAGAATATTGCATAAAGAGGGCTATGTCCTCAAGATTTCTGGGGTTGGTATCTTATAAGCAAAAAGCAATTGTGAAAGCTCAATTTAGCAACATAATAGAAAGCAACCAAATATAAACTGTAATGAAACTTATATATATCTTCACGCGATAGTGTCGTGGCTTAAATTGAGTAAGGTGTTTCAGGCTAGAAGACTTACAGTGCATGCGTTCTTATGATTTGTCGCATGATGATTTGCTTTCTGCGTTTACTTGTTCTTCTGTGTAACCAACTCCTCCATATTGTACTGTCTCTTGTTAATAAACTTCAGTCTTCTATTAGCTCGTGTTTTAATCCAACGGTTTTTATGCACAGTTTATTTGCTTGTTAGCTTTTTATTTATTTGCAACAAACAAATTAACCAAGGCGCCATACACATATCCGTTCTTAATCATTTCTAACTCAATTTTCAATTATCTTTTCGCATGAGGTTAAATATTCTTATCCTTTTGCACTCTCGTCGTTTTTTCTAGGTTTTAAACGACCCTTTCGCTGCCACGCTTGCTGCAGAAATATTCGTCAATACACCGTGGTACACCCTCTATGGCACCGTGGCGGGCTGCACGTTTCTGGGCAAGTACTACATGAGTTTTCTATTCTGAGACCATTCCCAGGTCATACTAACTGTGGATCGATCTATCTCCGAGGGGATTCTCGCTAAATTGCAATCAACTTAAGCGGCTTAATTGTCTGGCATGCCTACTGAAGCTGCTAGGGGGTAATTACCTATCGTTTTGGAGCTTCGGTAGGCGTGGCAAATATCTGAGCCGCTTTAGCTGGAAGCAATTTGGCGAAAAAACCCTTGGAAATAGATCGATCCTGTTAGATCGATCTACGTATGGGAATCCAGTCTAGACTCTTTTGACATCTATATACTAAAGCGATACAGTTTGTACCTGTTCAGTTTTGCAGGCCCCAACGTGCAACTACACACAGAGAGGTTTACTCTCTTGCACAAGCTCTGACGGGTTTATCTCCCTTAGGCTGAGACTGGTTAAATGACGCTCATATGCTAGCCAGGGTAGTAAAGGGATAGCATCTCTTCGTATGAGATCTATATTTCACAATAAATACATTGTAAACAACTTACAGAAATATAATATATCCTATGTTACCACTTCAACGGCAGTTATAGCCATTATTCTGAAATCTGTGGTTGTCAGCGGACCACGTTATTGCTATACTCTGCAACAATCTCTTAAGAGATTATTGAAAAAAAAATTTTAGAAATAAAAACAGGGACTAATTTTGAATGTAAAAGTGGATTCATTAACCATTGGAAATAATTATCGTTTATCCCAGAATAATTCACTTTTTGACCAAAATTAACAGTTATTAACTTTTTAAGTTTATTTATTATTTCACTCTCTCGCGGTGACCCTCTGAGCCCCTCCACCCCCCCCCCACCCCCCGCCCACATCCTCTCCCCCTGGTTCTGTCATTACTAATTAGTAATTAATAATTAATAAAAGACACACAGGCAGGTATGAGAAAGCTCTGTCTTGCAGGCAGTAGCTTCATTACGCCTCTCTTTACAAAATAAAGCTTATTATTTTCAAGCGTGCTGCTAAATGCCCAAGGGCAGAATGTCATCAGTGTTTATTTTGGTCATTTGCCCTGGAATAATTGACAGAAAATTGGCAAAAAAATACCGGCCTTAATAATCCACGCAGTTTGCATTAATTACTGGAAACGCAAATTGGCGGGTAGTGATTAGTCTTACGTGAGGATTTGGAAAATGTGCGTTCTTTGATGCTGCATAATGACGCCCGTTCCCAGCCGTGAAGCTCATTGCTTTTCGTCACAGATAAAAAAACATCTTACCGATGCCATCCTTGCAAAACGCATATCAAGGCGAAATCATTCTGTTTCAACTACCTTACCTTGATTAATAGTATCGAAGTGAGATTATATGTGTGTATCGCACTGTGCTGTTATTGTTGTATAATTTATTTTACTTGGAAAGTCACTAATTGTAGGTTCATTTGGCCTTTATTTCAATTTATTGTTATTGAATATAAGTATTTGATCTTTGAATAGCGTTCATGTTATTGGAACTTTAGTGATATCTTAGTCTAAGGTGGCATTGTCCAGTGTCAGATCTTTGGCGCAGACATTTAAGTCCATAATGCGACGAATAATCGTTGCAAAATAATTTGTGTCGCTTTTTTTTTTTTTTGGGGGGGGGGGGGGAATACATGTACAACGACACCAATCCATTCCAATATGATGAACTGATTAATAACTGCTACTAAACCTCAGTAATGGAGATGTATCTTGACGTCAAAAATATTAACACCTGCTCCGTATTGTCCTGTAACACTCTTGATTTCGCTCATTATCGAAAGGCAGATATGACCAGACACAATAGTCTGCATTAATGCCATGGGAAAGTCTTGTAATGGCGATCTCATACTACGTTATTGCAGTCGGGTATGCCATAGCGCTTGGCATTTTCAGACTCTAGAAGATTGCGAAGATAGGGGAGGGGGCAGGCACAACGAATAGTGTGTCTTGCTTCAGTCAGGCAATGAAAATATACTTGACTGAACAATATTCTGATTCCTTGCAGCAATGGTCCTTGCCTTTTTGTTCCGTAAAAGGAGATCCAATGGCCAAGAAGTATAAAAGGTCTCTCTCTCTCTCTCTCTCTCATAATATACTTGCAACATTGAATAACTCTGCGCGCTATGTTTTTTTATTTCTTTTAGCTTTTTGCAGTTTATAAATCTTTCTTCATAAATAACAGCATATTTGATTTCATTTACCAGAAGTACATGTGATGTATCTCACGCACAAACCATTTTCAGATTTCCCTCATTGGACTGTGGCCAATACCTTGTTATGTAGAAAACGGATTCCGATCTACGCAAGGTGCCTTGTGCTCGAAGAGACGGCTTGAAGTCCAGGTGCCTATTAGAATACGAAAGTTCCCCCAGTGTGGCTTATAATGCTCTATCGTCCACCTGATCTCAATTACGCAGAGTGACAGTTTTCATTTTTGCAAGTTCAAGGACGCCAAGACACCTGTTATTGAGTGTAGTGGAGCCTGTCAAGTGCGCCGTAATGAATGGACTAAGAGAGATTATTAACTGCAATTCATAGAAGCGTGACACTAAAATGTGGGGAATTGCATTAAACTCCAAGAAAATTACTTTGAAGGAGAAACCATGTTAATTGTTGTTTGGAAATGAAATAAATGTTGTTTGTTTCAGCACTCCTTTTCCACTGTATTTAATGTGCTGTAAGGTCCCTGCCCTTTACATAAATAATACACTTTAAAGTACTTTAAGATGTGACCGTCTCGTATTTTGACAAAGTAAAATTTAACCAGTGGCAGATTTCCAGGGACCAGTTTCTGGAACCTCTGCATTCAACGCACTACAAATGACAATTTAAAGCCCCAAGGCCGTTTTGTCACAGATGGCTACAATATTTACTATCACTTTAACATTTTACTCAGTATAATAGCTATAGGCTTAGCTATAGCTTATAGGCTAAACGTTTTGTAGAATAACCGCACCTAGTGTAAATGACCAAGTATTCCCTGTATGACATTTCAGCATTACTAGCTACATCACAGCTTGTGGCGTTATTCAAAATAACGTGCTTCATGACTCACATCATTTCGAGAACTACGTGTAGTCCATACCACACAACTTTCATTTCCCAGGTTCATTTTCGCGGTATTCGAGTCGTGTCTCTATTCGCATTAGGGTGGCCTTACTCAGACTCTGACCATGGGATCTGCTGCATCTAGTGGCCTGTTACATTGTATCGGTCTATCCTATAATTGTGTGTACTAAATAAGAGGCCCCTGATGTCAGACGGTAGGCTTAATTCGGGCTTCCTGTCACAGGGGAAGGATAATAAATTGAAAAAATAAACGAAGCTGAAAATATAAACGGCAAGTGATTTCTTTTTTATTGTTATTTTTTATTTATTTGTGATTATTTTATGCCATGAATAAGAAAAGGTGGGTTATGAAAATGCTTGATTTGTCTCGTTTTGCACGTTATACTGCTATGTAGCTTTGGTGGGGAAAGAGAAGAAAGGCGTTTTGAACATGGGGGAGTGGAGGGGGTGCAAGTGTCCTGTGCCCTCCCCCAGATTTGTCAAGTGACTCCCCTGCAGTTGGCACGCCACGCTTACGACATGAGATCTGGCCTTGGTTTTACAAAAAACTTAAGTCAGGTTCCCTGGCTAAGAACTTAACTACCAAGGTTACATGGTCACATGGGCACATCTTACCCTATCAGGAGCTGTGTAACAGCACTCTCATGAAAATCCTAGTCAATTAACTGACTAAAGTTTTTTTTTTTCTGAAACTGGGACCTGCTTCAATTTAGTGACCAGTGTGCAGTATGCCATAGGCACTACATGTGCTCTTTGCGATGAGATGATGTTACTCCGTCTATCAGTTGTTCCAGGTCAAACCAAGCCACGTCAACAACATCAGATTGGAAATACGGCTTCAGGTTGGAGTCTACCACACCTCGACTTCGGGTGACAGCGCTGGCAGCATCATAGTAATGGATATAACTAACGCTGCAGCTGAATGTCTAGTCCCTCGGCACAACCAGGGCTGGCTTTCGGGGACACTGAACGCTGCATAAACGCAAAACGAAATCTTAAGTTAATTTATTTATAAACAAGATTTCTCTGTCTGATTCGTCTTATTTCTTTTTTTGTTTGATCATATATATATATATATATTTGTTCAATTATGGATTTTGTTCCCTTTTTGTGTCACTTGTCGCTATTCAGTACATATATATGGTGAAATGCACTTGAACTTCAATTGACAATTTTTCAGTCAGGTGCCAGTACTGGCTTTCCAGATTTTTACCTCTGAAAACACGCTCCTTCGGAGAATGTGCTGCTTGTGCACGTTGATCATTCAAGAGCGCTGAAGTGATTTTTGTGTTGACATGCACGAAGTTAAGAACTATTTGATCGTGCTCATGTTTAGCTTATTAATAGGGAGACGAAGAAAACGATATTTAACGTCACACTGCAGTTTACTTGTGTGAACTGAAGATTTTAAAGCTCAGGTGCCGATAAAGTCGGAACGTTCCAAATTGATATTGTAGGGAATGCCTTACAATGTATGTATCTTCTTTTGAAAAACGCAGCATTTGTCTAAAATCACTTACATCAGTGTTTGCACCAAATGCAAGACGTTGCTGATTTACGTACGTAGAGCTATCAGCTTTTTTTCACAGATTCTTGTGTTTATGTACTTAGAAAATAACTAAGCTAAATCTAGGCTGGTCATGTATTTTGATTCAAAATCCAGACTTATCTCACGTTATTTTAGGTCTGTACCAGCCAGCTGTGCAGACATGTCGCTTTGGGAGAACATGCAGTAAACGTGCAAAACACGGTCCTTTCTGGTTCGAGTGTGGGGCCGTTCAGAATAGAAAATCCGAGTATCAGCAGGTTCAAGGCTCAAATATGGCGGTCTTTCCGCCTCTCACACGCCTCCCCACGCGTCTGGTCGAATGGAGCCGAGATTTAATTACGATGCAAGGGGAGGTGTGTGAGTGAGGAGAGACCATTACAGGATTAAGCGGTCTTCCTTTCATGCAGGGTTCGCCATATTTGAGCCTTGGGCCAGTTGATACTCGGATCTTCTATTCTGAATGGCCACTGTGATATGTAGTAAAATCACATCCATCGAGGTGGTCAGTATGAAATACCTGTGTACCTTTTGGGAGGACACGAATTTATTGTGGTACTGATTCCGTGTAGTTGTTTGTACTTATTAAATGTCATCATTTCTCATTAACAACATGTGTAAATATGTTCTTTTTCTATGTTCAAACGGGCAACGAAGTACATGTGCTTATTCAATGCCTCAAATGTAGATTTGCTGGCTTTGAAACAGGCCAAATTTTGTCAAATAAAATTTCGCTCTTTTGATTTCAACCACATGTTCTTTCTTGTCGTCCACTCCTGTGTCTGGTTTTATGAATGAATTTTAATGCTTACTCCAGATGTTTGCTTGGCGGAAAAAGTTCGCAGACAGATGGTGGATGGTACATTTGGGAACAGGTGGAAAGTCCCATGTTGTTTTGGCTATCAAACCAGGAGTAATCATAGGGTATAAATCTTGCGGGGTAACCCATGATTGATACGTGCGTTGAAGGTAATTACATAGCATTCGTTCTTGAAGACTTGCAGACACTTGCAACAGAATGTACGGATGCATAGGAGCCTAAGGCTTCGTTCACATGCAATGTCTATATTCTAAATTCTATTTCTTATTCGCGGCATGTCTTATGATCACGGTCTGTGCCCTGAATATCCCGCGGCGTAATTACTGGCAGNTTTAGAAAATGGACATTGCATGTGAACGAAGCCTAAATACCGAATTGGTTTTATGAAAAAAGCAAACAATAGGTGTCAAAATGAGTTTTCCATTTTACAGTTGTTGTTTGTTCTGTTCTTGCCTTTTTTTCTTTTTTTTTTTTTTTTTTTTTTTTGGTTACATTTCGCCGTATATTCCATTTTTTAAATTTTATTGCCAAGGAAATACAGTGGAATTTTCGTATTAGAATATAATTTTCATTATGAATATGAAATTTTGTTCAAGCGTTTTGAAAATTATATGGTCATATTTAATACGTGAGTCCCATTCTGAAACTCGCCAAAACGAAACATTCAGTGTTTATTTTTTAAAAAATCTTAAGAGAGAAAATAGTTTCTGAAGCCATTTAAAAAACATTTGCATTCTAAAACGTTCGACCTTCCATCCATTTTGTATTCCGTCCAACTTTCAAAGTCAAAACCTTCCTTTTCGTCCTTTTAAAGAGCAAATCCTCTTGAAATATTTTGCCTTCCATCTCTCAAAAGGTCACATTAAAGTGAAGTACTGTGGTAACCATAAACACTTTAAAAACAAAACGTGTTTTCAAATTTATGGTCTGTTAATCCTGACATTTCAAACCGATCAAGTAAGACGGACATACCAAACTGTTATATTTTTGTTCTTTTCTCATTGAAAAGTTCCACTTGCGCTCTATGATCAAAAAGTATCGGGTTTGTATTTTATGAGCCGGTTCAACGTTAACCTTTAAAGAGTTGATTTCGTTGTGCATGCGTGTCAAATTATAAATATGACACCGATGTTACTGAGATAAAATCTCGCACGCTTCATCTGCAACGTGAGAAAAAGACACCTATATAAATTTAAGAAAACGCAATATTCGTGAGCATGCACGGTAAGTACTAGAATCGAGGACGCACTGATGAAGTAGTTATGTATGGTTTCCCCGTCAAATATGTTTGGTCTTTAGTTGATATGAGCAAACTAAATGAACTGCAAACGCAGGTAACAATACAAAATGAAAAGCCTTCTAGAATCACATTGCCCATTGAATATTTGTATGATGATGTATTCTGTTTCGCAACCTAAACATTTCAATTCCAGACTGCTAGACAGAGAAGGGGGAGGGGGAGTTTGCAAATTACGTAAAATACTCTTATACAATGTAGGCGATAATTTTCCTCATTGCCATAATTCCACCTGTAATGGTTATGTTAGATAGTTGTTTGTCCCTTGTAATTTCCATCTAATTGAGTTTTATCACCATCAGTGCACCTATTACATGAAAGGAGGATCCACCTACAAATAAAGATGAACGAAGGGTTTATTGCAAATTAGCCACCGCTAGCAATAGTTATCTGTCAAGGCGTATATTCACATACCCCTTAAGCAAACGTATGAAGTCCAATGCCCATCGTCTTTTTAATAATTTATTTACATGCTTGTTTTTTGTACATCACAGATAAAAACTGGAATGTTTAAAATACAATTGGCTTCATGTTATTACTTTCGCCAAATCGATTGATCATTACACTGCTTATTATATCTACCTAACATTTAAACCTATCAAGACATCGATTGCAGGAAAATTGATATTGCACCCACATCTGCTGTGGAAGCGTTTGGCTTTTGACGAACCAAACAGAAGAATTTGACTGAATGACTATTTAGAAAAATATGCAATCAAAATATTTTTTGAGTAGCATGACTAATTGTTTTGTTAAATGAAGAATGAGTAACAAGAAAATCAATTTTCTCTGAAATCGGACTCGATTCGTATCAGTAGTTTCGCCTCAACAGGTCTGTTGTTTATTGGTTCCAATTAAAACTACCATAGCACCATAATACTTCTCATCTCTTTTTGGTCGATGTCAATGTTTGACATAGCTTCCTTCTACTCCTAACCGGGATAAGTAGCTTCCATAAAGGTATAGTTTTCTTTTATCAAGCTATAACACAAATAAAATACTCTCCATCATACATAATGACTGTTACACTTCTAAACATCAATTAATGAGATATACTTTACTGCAAACTTGCTCATGTTTGTACACGATAAAACAATTTACAATAATTGAACATTCCTTGGCATTCGGTCTATTCAATGCCCAAAGGATTACATGAACATTAATGGCGGAGAATTGGATATTTATGTAAGATAATATGAATCTGGCGAAATTCGAAAATGAAACATCAATGTACATCAATGCAATTTTACACATAAGCTGTAACAGAAAATAAATAAAGCTGTAGCATAGCCTCCCACATACCCGTAATAAAGCCCTATTTGCCACACGTCAAATTAGTGACCTTTACCCCCAGTACCTAGCAATTTGCCTCCAATTATGATACTTCCTCCAAGTTGTTTACAGCTATTTCATTGGTTCAAAACATTTACTTCCTCTTAGTTTCTAACCATCCCTCTTCTTCAATCTTTTAGCCTCATCTTGGGTAAAAATACACCAGTAGTTCAAATCATTTACTCCGTTTATCTTTCTTTTTAGCTGAAACTCTTCACTTCGATCTAGTTTTTAACTTTTCCATTAGCTTAAACTATTTACTTCACCATACTTTCTATTTCAAAAGACCTCGTCCTGGTCTCTAATTATTACATAGGCTCAAATTATTTACTTTGCCCTTGTTTCTTAATATTCCATTGGCTTAACCCATTTATGCCGTCTCAGCACTTTACTGGCTCTGCGTTGTCCTTAATGTTCCAAGGCCAGAGCTTGCATTCTTATTATACCCTTACAATATGTGTGTGTGTTTGTGGAGGCACCTAATGTTTCAAGCACACACCACGCCGTTTTTGGTACTTCTTTAAGCCTTTATATATACTCCTGTTTCTTTCGTCGAGCATTTCTTTCCTAAGTACTCATTCATCGTAATGCCTTTGAATACTTTATGTCGTCATCACAGGCACTCGGTCAGAAAGACAGATGACAGACAGGATAGCTTTCCTGCCAAAAAGACGACCAAATATGCGGTTTTGAATAGTTTTATTTCCTGCAGGGTGGTAGTCTTGGTTTAGAACCATATATGAACTGTGTATTTAGCAAGGCGCTATGACTAAGATCAGTAGAAAAGTATGGAATCGGATCGCCGGGTTTGTCATTTGAATATTTCGAAATAATCTTAGGATCTTTGCATTTTTCCACGCTTTTCCACGCTTGTTTAGAAGCATTGTTCTTAAATTAATCCGCTTTATCTGAACTTTCGCCATCATGTCACCAGTATGTAGTGTCATTGTCATTGACAGTATGCTTCATTGTGTTAAAGTGTCACATGTCACCTTCGCCGCCTTCTCCTTCTGTCCTCGCTACACGGAACACATTGGCATGATTCAATTCTTCTGTACTTCACCACTTCCGGTGGCTTATCCCTGTCAAAACTGACCAGTAGTATCTGGAATGAAGAGGAAGACTAATTTACAGTATATGTCATAATGTCATAATCTCATAATGTCATAAGATCTGATGAAATCCACACATGATTCAAAATGAAACGCCTTTATAATACGGCAATTGATAGCTTTATTGTATCGCCCCTGCACTAATAAGATGGATAAGATGGTTATGTATGTTGATTATGGAGCTACTAACATTACAGACTCATTACTGATGGCGGTTAATGCACAGGTCACCC